AGTTCTATCAAGAGACCCTCTACAAGCGTATTGAGTCGTATCAAGAGACCCTCTGATCAAGCGTAGAGTGCTATGGAAGAGCCTAACATCAGCGTATTGGTCTGTATCAAAGACCCGCATCCAATCAGCGTATTGAGTTGTATCAAGAGCCCCTGTATAAGAGCATTAAGTATCAAGAGCCCCTCTACCAGCGTATTAAGTCGTATCAAGAGCCCCTCCATCAGCGTATTAAGTTGTATCAAGAGCCCCTCTACCAGCGTATTAAGTTGTATCAAGAGCCCCTCTACCAGCGTATTAAGTGTATCAAGAGCCCTTCCATCAAGCGTATTGAGTTGATCAAGAGCCCCTCTACCAGCATATTAAGTTGTATCAAGAGCCCCTCTCCAGCGTATTAAGTTGTATCAAGAGCCCCTCCACAGCGTATTGAGTTGTATCAAGAGCCCCTTACCAGCGATATTAAGTGTATCAAGAGCCCTATACCAGCGTATTAAGTTGTATCAAGAGCCCCTCTACCAGCGTATTAAGTCGTATCAAGAGCCCCTCCATCAGCGTATTAAGTTGTATCAAGAGCCCCTCTACCAGCGTATTAAGTTGTATCAAGAGCCCTCTGCAGCGTATTAAGTTGTATCAAGAGCCCCTCTACCAGCGTATTAAGTTGTATCAAGAGCCCCTCTACCAGCGTATTAAGTTGTATCAAGAGCCCCTCTACCAGCGTATTAAGTTGTATCACGAGCCCCTCTACCAGCGTATTAAGTTGTATCAAGAGCCCCTCCATCAGCATATTGAGTTGTATCAAGAGCCCCTCTACCAGCATATTAAGTTGTATCAAGAGCCCCTATACCAGCGTATTAAGTCGTATCAAGAGCCCCTCCATCAGCGTATTAAGTTGTATCAAGAGCCCCTCTACCAGCGTATTAAGTTGTATCACGAGCCCCTCTACCAGCGTATTAAGTTGTATCAAGAGCCCCTCTACCAGCGTATTAAGTTGTATCAAGAGCCCCTCTACCAGCGTATTGTATCAAGAGCCCCTCTACCAGCGTATTAAGTTGTATCAAGAGCCCCTCTACCAGCGTACTGACAAGTCTACACAACATCCAGACGAGGAACGCCAGGCAGCACTGCAGGCCAATATCCTTGACACAATTGCTATGTAATCTAACGAAAGGTAATTTTTATAGCGGACCGCTCGGAAAGGTGCAGCGTTATAAGCGAGTCAGCATGAGCTTAGAGAAGGTGAATCTTGTCTCGCTCCTTGTAGGGCGTAACAGACTGGTACCTCGTTAAATACGCGATACGAATATGTACCTGGAGGTTACCTGTAGAAGTCTTCCGCAATCTATTTGTACAGAATTGCAGGACAGTTTGTAAGATTGGCAGGAACGGTGAAGTGTTTCCGTCGAAACGGCTTGGTTTTATAAGGGTTGTTATATATATATATATATATATATATATAATTATATATATTAATTTATCATTATTATTAATATTGTAACAGGATCTCATTGTAAACTAAGCCTCAATATTTTTATATTTTAATAATATTTTATTATTAATTATAAAATTATATATTGACAAATAATTTATAAATTATAACCTTATTATAACAAAATTATTTTGCCAATAGTAAATGGTCAATTAGAAATATTTTAAAATTAAGTTTTCTAAAAATTTTCTTATATTATTTAATATTTTTAGTTTCAAAGTTTATGTAAAATTTAAATTTGCACCAAAATTCTTAGAATACCTTACTCAAGATTATTAACATAAACAATTATTTAGCCTAATCCCTAAATTATTTTGAGATTGTTTACAATATTTAATATAAACAAACAAGTGAAATAATTTTTTGTTAGGTTCAGAATGATTTTGGGAAATTATTGATACACAAATTTCACTTTCCTATATGGCAAGATGAACGTTGCTATTTAAGCCAATTCCAAGTCTAGGATTCAGGATCGACATTATATATAATAATATACATGCTTAAATATATGAACTATAGTTGTGGGCTTTCGGATGATATCCGCAGGATTATTTAGATTCCACTAGGGTTCAAAGTATTTTGATTAATGATAAAGGTAAATGCAGCCCTTAAGAATAATGACGAGCGGAAATGATGACAGGGAGGATGTGGGTCGCAGGGACTCTTGCTGGGACCCTACTGTTCCCAATAGTTTTTGGGTTTAATATGTTCATTATGCAGCCCATACCCATCCTGTGGGGAGCAATCAAAAGATTAGAGAGGTACATAATGGGTCCAGGGACTGTACCTCAATATTACAGAGGTACATAATGACTCCAGGGACTGGGCAGCAAATTTTTACCAGCTAAACAAGTTACAAATGAACCATTTAAACGTTTATATCTGGATCACAACTCTAACGAGTTATTCCCGATATACATAAATATGGTCTACGAGATAATCTTACGTCTCCCTCTTTGTAACTGCTGCAGAACAGACGAGGAAACTAAATGTGGATCTGAAAACAAGGAAACGCTACAATTTGTGAACAGGATGCATGACTAGGCAACCAAGACAACAACTCCAGCAAGATCAAGGTTATGCATATCGTAGGAAAAACCAGATCATAAACAAAAGAAGGAACATGTTACAAAGCTTTGACAAGGATAAGGATCAAGGAAATTAGGTTAACAAGCATTGTTTAATTTTAAACATGCCGACTGCAAGTAGGTCATTAAATCCGCATGTCACTGTTCTAAAATATTTGAAAATACTTTGATAATTGTTCAATTTATATAAAGAACTAAACCCGTGTGGATCATTTATTGGTAGAAGTGGTACAGGTTCGATCCTTTGTGATATCACTAGTAAACAGGTGATATACAGAACCACTGTGAGAAAATTGAATTGCAAGCGCTTTCGTGATTTTTCATAGTATCAAGGAACTGTCTTGCAAATATCGCTAACAAGCGATGCAAGATGCAAGACAACCACGGGGGGGAGATGAATGATAGCTCTAGGTCTTTCGTGTTGCAATCAACGCATCATCAGATGCTTGGAATTTTACAGAAAAGAGGAGGAAGTCCGAGCAAATACGATCACAGGAAGCGCCTTTGACGGCGCGAGGCAGAGAGGCAGGTGCCTCCTGCTTCCTGCCTCCAGCCTCATGCTTCCAGCCTCTCTGCCTCACTCCAGCAAAGGCGCTTCCTGTAATAGTAACTGCTTGGACCTCGTCTTTTCTGCAACATTGCAAGCTCCTGATGTGTTGATTACAACACGAAAGACCTAGAGCTATCATTCACCTCCCCCCGCGGTTGTTTTGCATATATATGTATACATAACGGCTTAAAACTCTAGCGAAAATCATCCCATTTAACTATAATGCAGTTAAAAAGTGAGAGTCGAAATTAGTGTCTCAAATACGAGAAATATATTGTACTAGTGTTGTGTCACCTTGCCAGCCAACTATACTGTCAACACCTGCTGGAGGTCTTGATATCAAGGTGAACATTGTTGCAGGTATCCTAGGATGAAGGAGTATGTCATACCACATTCCTATTTTCCTGTTTATTATTTTTCCCGGTTTCTCGATTAGTTTTTGGTGGGAAGGAGGGGGGGTCAAATTAACGAGGGTAGAGCTAAAAAAGAGTCTACCACATTCATAATAATGTGTCTATTAGCTGGTTTGGTATCGCACTCAACTCACACATTGAGGTCCGTGGTTCGATCCCCCCTCCCGGTCTGCCGAGTCTTGTTTTTCATAGGTGGTGATTTTCGTGTGCAAATTTGGCACTAATCCCTCTAGGATTTTCCAGGTGTATATAATTATGTATCTCTCCCTCCTGCGTTCCAGGGAATACAGGTTTAGGAACTTCAAGCGTTCCTAGTAACCGAGGTGTTTTATCTCCGTTATGCGCGCCGTGAAGGTTCTCTGTACATTTTCTAGGTCAGCAACTTCCCCTGTCTTGAAAGGTGCTGTTAGTGTGCAGCAATATTCCAGCCTAGATAGAACAAGTGACCTGAAGAGTGTCATCATGGGCTTGGCATCCCTAGTTTTGAAGGTTCTCATTATCCATCCTGTCATTATTCTAGATGCGACTGATATAATGTTGTGGTCTTTGAAGGCGAGATCCTCTGACATTATCACTCCCGGGTCTCTGACGTTAGTTTTTTCGTTCTGTGTGGTTGGAATGTTTTATACTCCGATATAGTTTTAATTTCCTTACGTTTTCCATATCGTAGTTGAAATTTCTCATCAATGAACTTCATATTGTTTTCTGCAGCCCATTTAAAGATTTGGTTGATGTCTGCCTGGAGTCTTACAGTGTCCTCCAAGGAGGACAATGTCATGCAAATTCGGGTGTCAATTGCAAAGGAAGATACAGTGCTGTGGCTTTCCACTACTATCAAAACTAAGCACTAAACCCACAAGAGTTGTCAAATACGTAAGCCCAACTTCAAGGTGATTTCAACGAGTCCATGAACATTGCTCATTAGAATTACGAATATGTGGCAAACGAGGGTTTGGATTAGTGTCCGGGGCGTTTCAAATATCAAAGTTCAAGCCACGTTAACACACAGTAACAAGACTGTGTTGGTCCCTTAGTAATTACTAAGTGACAACCATCCCCCCTACCCATCACCCTCCCCCCAGTAACAACTAACCAACCACCCCAAAAACCCCACCACCAACAGAAAACCCCCGACCCTTCCCCCTTCCCCACAAACTACCACTGACGTCACCACCCCTCCTCCAGGTCAATGGCGCCATTTAGTCATGGAGGTCACGAATAGTGGCGCCACTAGTCACTTCCCTGCCATCCACTACACCATCAACACCTCCAGCGCCATCAACCCGTGGTAATTAAAAAAAAAACTTAGATTATTCCAATTTCATGGTAATTTTTGATAGATCAGCTTTGTAAACATTTCAGCAATTTTTCTTCCTACAAAATGTTGAAGGAAACATTCTAAATACATAGTAAGACTTCTAACTATTGCTTACTGCAGTTCATTACTAAATTGTTAATGTCCATACTTTTATCTTTGCAGACATTGTTTTGGCGTGTTGCTGCTGGTGATGACATCTCTGAAGACTTGCAGCTGCCCACAACACGGTCTTCGCCACACAGCAGCTGCCCACAACACGGTCTTCGCCACACAGCAGCTGCCCACAACACGGTCTTCGCCACACAGCAGCTGCCCACAACACGGTCTTCGCCACACAGCAGCTGCCCACAACACGGTCTTCGCCACACAGCAGCACGCTGCCCACAAACACGGTCTTCGCCACACACAGCTGCCCACAACACGGTCTTCCACACACCAGCTGCCCACAACACGGTCTTCACCACACACCAGCTGCCCACAACACGGTCTTCACCACACACCAGCTGCCCACAACACGGTCTTCACCACACACCAGCTGCCCACAACACGGTCTTCACCACACACCAGCTGCCCACAACACGGTCTTCACCACACACCAGCTGCCCACAACACGGTCTTCACCACACACCAGCTGCCCACAACATGGACAATATCTTTAACCTGCAAGATTCGATTAAGATTAATAAAAATGTAATTTACTTAGTCTTTCTTTATCACAGCAAAGAAATGTTCAAGAAACACACACAAAGGTGTTCAAGGAACACAAAAGAAACAGAAAAAGTAAATAACTTTGAGAGAAGCCTCAACTGCTGTATTTGTCAGCAGGAGGACAACATTCACACAGTTCGGGAGCTTTAAGCTCGGAGAAAAAAAAAAAAAAACCTACCTACCCCAACCCTACTAACAACAGTAGTAATGAGGCAGACAGCCTCAATACTGCCATTATTAGTATTTTTGAGGTATGATACATTTTTTAAGTTTCATGACCTTAGTGTTGCGACGCTGAGCAAACACGTCAGAAAGCTGTCGTGCACGCTGAAGTATTTAGTGTTGTACAGAAGTCTTCCAACACAGGCTGTTAGAATACTGGAGACAAGAGGTGATCATTCTGACAAGACGTGATTCTGCTGCAATTAAACAAGTTAGAGAGTTTACCCTTACATATACATTACAACCTAGCCAAACCTACTCCTAATATCCATTAAATATAGGCGTCTAAATGACTAAAGTGGGGTTTTTTTTTTTATCAACTTGCACTACTCTCCTCTGAATCAAACCTGATTGACTTTCGTTGACCTGTCCCCTGAGAGTTTACCGCTCCCCCCCCCCCTCAAACAATTTTACATACGCGCACATTTACCCAAATAAAATTTCCCATAACTATATATATACATAATCCATAGGGGTTATACACAGCTTGGGGAGTGTTAGGCAATCGGGTTTGATCCAAGGAAGGGGAGGGTACTTACAAGCAGTTGTATCAAGATATCTTCACTAGTACAAAGACACCCCTTGAAGGGCATCCAAATTTAACATGAAGGTAGTTAATGATCCTAAGACATTATATTTACCCTACACTTCCACGTCCCTCATAGCACACTAGGCTAACAACCAACACTATGGGTTATCTAACCAGTTGGAGTCCTGCCGTATAGTCTCCTAACACACTACTATGCTAGCCTGAATTCATAGCCTACCTTACTAGCCAGTTATGGCTGACATCTCAGGCACAACCTGAGGACCACTACATTCAAGCACCCACACTCTGTACCCAAATTTCTAACCCAAATGGGTTAATAATCCTATTCCCACTAATACAAGTCAATCACCCCCCTAACTATATTCATCAACATCAGATGTTAGTGAATCCTTTCTGCCGATTAACACTTCAGATCACATGTTTTCATTAACGTCCTCTGCCAGAAGTGTTAGACTTCACTGTAACCTATCAAACCAACTAATTCTGAACGCTAATACTTTTATATTCACAGGAACTTGAACGCCGCTAAATTATCCAAAATGATGAAAATGTGTAAATCAATGAATCAATATTTAACTTTGCAGTTTGGCCAAAGGCATAAAAAACGTAGAACACCCACCACAACCACTACCCAAACCCGGAACCCACCAACATCCCCACGGAAACCACCAGCAATAACAGATTGCAGACAGCTACTGAAGGTCGTTGGTGGGTTCCCAGGCCAACAGTTCTACGTAATCTATGCCTTCAGGGGAGATTACTCTCCCCTGCTATATGCATTCATAATGCATATAGCAGATTCTCCAGTTTTATACCTTACCTATCCTACTTAACAATACCCAATCCGAGAAGTAGAAACTAAACTGTAGACCAACAAAGTGAAAATAAATGGTATAAAATACCGACACAATGGAAACAAACACATATGCAGTTTAATGTGATCCTTTATTGACAACGTTTCACCCACACAGTGGGCTTTTTCAAGTCACAAACAGATCTACCTGGGGTGGAAGGTACGTGAGTATTTATAGTCAGATGCAGCATACTCCAAATGACCTCAACATTCTGAACCTGACTATAAATACTCACGTACCTTCCACCCCAGGTAGATCTGTTTGTGACTTGAAAAAGCCCACTGTGTGGGTGAAACGTTGTCAATAAAGGATCACATTAAACTGCATATGTGTTTATGTTTCCAGACCTACAAAGTGTTGTATATATACACCACAACTATGCAGTATACTCCAGGTATAGGAATTACTAATTTGCAGATCAGTGGAGGCGCAAGGAACGTAAAGGTAAGACCAAGGAGGCCTATGCAAGATTAAGGGGGGGTCTAGGTAAGGTCAAGGAGGTCTAGGTAAGCTCAAGGGGGGCCTAGGTAAGATCAAAGGGGGTCTAGGTAAGATCAAGGGGGTCTAGGTAAGATCATGGGGGTCTAGGTAAGGTCAAGAGGTCTAGGTAAGATCAATGGGGGTCTAGGTAAGATCAAGGGGGTCTAGGTATGATTAAGGAGGTCTAGGTAAGGTCAAGAGGTCTAGGTAAGATCAAGGGGGGTCTAGGTAAGATCAAGGGGGTCTAGGTAAGATCAAGGGTGGTCCAGGTAAGGTCAAGGGGGTCTAGGTAAGATCAAGGGGGTTTAGGTAAGATCAAGGGTGGTCTAGGAAAGATCAATGTCTAAAAGG